ATATGATAGGAGCAATCGATTTTGATAAAGAGGTAAAAACTGTTTCTATTAATTAACTACCAAAAGGATTAGATTGTTGAACTGTTTTCCTACGGTGAGTACGTTAATACATTTTCTATAATTTTAATGATCCAGTTATTCAGTGAGAAAATTTGTTTAACCATTGTAGGCATGAACCTCAAGGGATGAAAAAATGCACGGTAAAGTTAGTGCTGCCATGGGAACGTTGATTGACTTAAAAGTCCAAATTAACAAAGGTATATATTAGCTACATGTCAATAATGTTTTTTTAGTTTCTCAATGAATTTGACAGCGATCTCTGCAATGTATAATTTTTTTTTCAGATGATTGATATTGATCATTGTGGTTCATTTTCTGGAATTTGGAAAATTAATTATGCTTCATTGTAATATTGTTTTCTTTGCAGTTGGAAGACTGAAGTTTTAAAGGCAAAGAAGCCATCAATTACATGTTAAGAATTAGGAGAACTTAAGAAGAACAAGACATAAAGAAGTAAAAAAGAAGAGAAAAAGCTTAACACTAGATTTGTATTTACTGAGCTAATTAAGATCAATCTACTCTTTCAAATAATCTAAATTATTTTTATATGTCGTGGTTAATCAGTTATAACAGTGTCAGTGATTTGTTTCCTTTTATGATAAATCAAAGTTATTTTATACATGTATTTTTAATTTTAGGTAACTGAAATTTGTTTTCAGTAAAAGTATTTTCGTGCGTAGCACAAGGTCAATACTAGTTTATAATAAATCTGGTCGAAAAGCCACTTAATTCTATTGTGGAAAACTAGGTTTGAATTGACCAAACTTTACTAGTTCCTAAACTTTGGAAAAACCAAAACAGATAATTGCTTTCTTGACTTCATGACCAGCAGCCACGACTTTGAATCTGAAGAATGAAGAATATACTCCTAAAATGGGCCAAGACATTTATTTTTGAAGCCTGATCGAAAATGATTAAGAAGTGGACCAAACAACTTGTCGATATACTCGTTTCGGTTAGCCCTTTTTTGATTTGTTTTTGTCGCTGATGTTGTCCCGGTTTCAATTCTATCTTCTTTGGTACTTTCTTCTGGTTACAACACAAGAAAATATCCTAATTTAAAAATCCAACACGCTTTCATGTAAGTCTAAGTCTTCTTTTGGTCCAAAACTTCATGGACCAAATCAATAAAGTCTTCAAAATGCCCACATTAAGCCAAATCATGATCAGTGGTTTAGCTGATGTGTTTTTGTCTTCATACTTCGGTCAATAAAGCTGATCAGGACCGCATCACATTGGCAAGCTGTAAAAAGAATATTGATATCTCGAGTGGCATTTTTCTGCTATCAAACATACACCGCTCGCGGTTTCTCTGATTGAGCAGGTGATGATTATGACTTTATCTTTACAAACACATACGGGCTGTTGCAAATACGTCTTCGAAACTGTTTTGGCTCTTTTCTCTGAAATTGGAATCACACTCAATGTAAGTGCAAAGATGACACCACAATATAGTACTGCAGAAAATAAACCAAGAGACAAAATAGATAAAAGCAAACACTATGCTTTATTAGAAATCATCTTGTACACTCTATTACAAAATCTGCTTCTCAGCTTTACACAGCCTGTTAACACCCTAACAACTGCTACTGCAAGATTCCTAATCTACCCAAACTTGTCTCTCCATCGTCGTATGCTTCAGCATCTGCTTCAACACGACCCAAGAACACCCTAAGGGATTTTCACCCTTCCTCTATAATAAAAGCCCCAAGTGTCTTATGGAATACACACGACTCCATAGCTCTTTTATAGTGATCTCCACGTTCCTGAAACCCTAGTCTCTAAGGCAACATGGATATATGGACAACTTCCATATTAATAAGTACACTTTCCTTTTCTTGGATTTGTACTTATTCCTCAAGGCATAAACTTGCTCCTCAAGTTTATCTCTTGCATTTTCTCCACGGTATAAACTTGCTCCTCAAGTTTATCCCACGCCAGCTCAGCATCTTGCATCCACATGGTCCCTACCACTCCGCATGCCTCCTGGTTCACTCTCTGACACACGCTGCATCAGCAACTACTTCAACGACTACGTCAAGACATAAAGCTCTAGTTTATCCTTCTCGATCTCATCATATCCTGCATCCACATGGTAACCCACCACTCCGCATGCCTTATGTAGTAACGACTAATGCCTCCAACATCAGTGACTTCGTCGCCTAGTTAGTCACGGAAGACCATTGACATCTACAAGCTCCACTTGCATCTTCAATCTCCCCCTTTTAGCTTTGTGTGCCAATCAAGCACAATATTCTTCTGGTTCAACAACCACGTTTCCTCACCTGGAAACTTCCACACTCGATATGCCATTCTCCCCCACGAGACTTGCACTATCTTCATCTTCACACATAGATATGTTCTTCTCCCCCACGAGATATGCACCATCTACATCAGGACGTCCATCACCATGCTCTTCTCGCCCACGAGATATGCACTTCTTGGACCAGAACGTCATCACTTCTCCCCCTGCTTGATTGCATACTAAGCTAAAACATAGATGCTTAGATGTCAAGCCTTCTTTCACAGACACACCGCCTGCTCCTACCTGTGTACTGCATCCGCCTCTGACGCTTCCGCCAAATTACTTCTCGAACAGCTCCTTGCCTTGTCTTGGCTCCTTCGACTGGACCTCTTCCACTCTGCTGTGACCACCAAGGGCTCCTCCCACACAGTCTCCACAGCTATCCACGCACCTTCATTGATTCCTCGAGCCAACAACTTCATGTGCGCCTTCTCATGACCGAATTGGCCATCAACCAACAAGATTGTCTTCTGCAAGCAACCGTGTACATCTTCACCTTCAGAATCACACCAGTAACTTAGGTGACCCGCTCTGATACCAATTGTAAGTGCAAAGATGACACCACAATATAGTACTGCAGAAGATAAACCAAGAGACAAAATAGATACAAGCAAACACTATGCTTTATTAGAAATCATCTTGTACACTCTATTACAAGATCTGCTTATCAGCTTTACATAGCCTGTTAACACCCTAACAGCTGCTACTGAAAGATTCCTAATCTACCCAAACTTGTCTCTCCATCGTCGTATGCTTCAGCATCTGCTTCAGCACGACCCAAAAACACCCTAAGGGATTTTCACCCTTCCTCTATAATAAAAGCCCCAAGTGTCTTATGGAATACACACGACTCCATAGCTCTTTTATAGTGATCTCCACGTTCCTGAAACCCTAGTCTCTAAGGCAACATGGATATATGGACAACTTCCATATTAATAAGTACACATTCCTTTTCTTGGATTTGTACTTATTCCTCAAGGCATAAAATTGCTCCTCAAGTTTATCTCTTTCCTTTTCTCCACGGTATAAACTTGCTCCTCAAGTTTATCTCACGCCAGCTCAGCATCTTGCATCCACATGGTCTCTACCACTCCGCATACCTCCTGGTTCACTCTCTGACACACGCGGCATCAGCAACTACTTGAACGACTACGTTAAGACATAAACCTCTAGTTTATCCTTCTCCATCTCAGCATATTCTGCATCCACATGGTAACCCACCACTCCGCATGCCTTATGTAGTAACGACTAATGCCTCCAGCATCAGTGACTTCGTCGCCTAGTTAGTCACGGAAGACCATTGACATCTATGAGCTCCACTTACATCTTCACTCAACTCAGCTCCGATCATATATTGTGAGAACGTAGGCACCACATAACTTTGTGCAAACGACTCTGGAGGAAACATGTGACACTAGATTATCACTTTGTCAAGGGGCACATTCATTCTGGTTTATTTCAGGTTTCCCATATATTCCTATATGATATCAATGCGCAGACACTCTAACAAAACCTCTACCAATGCCGAGGTGCAAGGACATAAATGACAAGACTGGAGTCAGCTAGCTGTTTCTGTCTTGAAAGAAGGTTTACTAGATAAGTAGACATTAAAGTTAATACTGTCCTTAGTCAGTAGCTAAACCCTTTTGTTATTAGTATTAAAAATTTGGGGGCTAATGCGCAGTGTCCCTAAAATATATTAGACGTAATTTTTGAATAAAATCTCATTAGTGGTAAATTTGACAGTAGTTTTCAGTAAAACATAAAATTAGTTAATTATACAATAGTAATTTTCTAACATGTAATATTGATTTCTTGTGTAGATAAAAGTAGGGCTTGTCAAAAAAATACCAAATCCATAGAACCGAACTGAATATGATCCAAAAAGTAATATCGACTCCGAACCAAAATTGGTTGATATCCAGACGGATTCAAAATTTTGATATCTAAAAAACTGAAACCGAACACGATCCGAACATATATATTTCGGATATCCGAATATATTTGAATCAGATTTATACATTTAGATATATTAGTTAGCTAGATTTAATATCCAAAACATATCCAAATATATCAGATTTTTGAAGTTTTTTTAAATATTTGAAAATATATACAAATACTCAAAGTAAATATCTAATTTAGTTAAACAATACTCAAAACACCAAAAATATTTAAAATATCTATTGATTATCCATCCAAATATTGAGGTCAAACCAATTTTACGAAATTTTAATATTTTGGCATACATTACTCAAATTTAAATATTATATTATTTTAGATTTTGAGAATTTTAAGTATATATGTATGAATTTTAAAATTTTAAAAATTTAAAAGTAATTTAACGAGTTATCCGAATCGAACCCACAAAGAACCAATCGAATAAAAATTTATAAATATCCGAAAAAACGAAAACCTTAACACCGAATAATAGATTCGAACCATTCCGGTACAAAACATCCATACCTAGATGAAAGGTTGGGAAATATTATAGTTGTATATGTAAACATAAGGTCGAGCAATAATTCTATTAGTAACAAAAGGCTAAATGCCAATATTTTGTTTCTTGTTTAATGTCTTCTCAGAAACTCAATTATACAAAAAGGTGATTCACGAGACAGAAAAAAACAAAAAAGCTTTCTGAAAAAACTCATGTTTCTGTCACTCATATATCAATAACAAACAAAAACCGCTTTCAACTATAGAAAACAGAGCTCCGAGATGTCTTCTCTTCTCTTCCTCATCTCCATTGCCTTAACCATAACATTCAGTAACCATACTTCAAAGGCAGCAAATCCACCCGTAAGCCTCACAGACAGAATCCTTTGCAGCAACAATAACCTCTTCTCAGTCTCAGGTATCATCAACACAGATCTTTTTAGTATTAATTAAATTATAGCTTCCCTCTTCTGAACAATTTGTCTTCTTCTCTATGGATTTGTGCAGATTCCTCTGGTGAGCTTGAATGCAGATTCAGACCAATAAAACCTAGTTTCAAACAGAAGACAAGAGGTCATTATCGCAGAAAACCCCTTGTTTTATGTCTTGGAATCAAAAGGTGTTCAAGAAATGGGAAGAAGTTTGTAAAAAAGCATCCAGAAAGGAAGTCTACTCGGATTCTGAAACAAATTAGAAAAGAAAGTCAGGTTCAATTCCAACACAGGAAGCAACAATCATCAAGATACAAGAAGCAAAATATAGGAGACAAGAAGTTCTTTTTCCCACCTCCATGGTTTCTTCCTCCAAACCCATTTGTGCCACCACCTTCCATTTTTCCACCAAACCCATTTGCGCCACCACCGTCCATTTTTCCACCAAACCCATTTCAGCCACCGCCACCTTCGATTTTTCCGCCACTCCCATTTCAACCTCCTCCTGCTCCACCACCATCAATATTCCCTCCAATATTTCCTCAGCCGCCTCCTGCTCCACCACCATCTATATTCCCTCCTTTATTTCCTCAGCCTCAGCCTCAGCCTTCTCCTCCTCCGTCGTTCTTCCCTCCCAACCCGTTTCAGCCTCGTCCTCCTCAGCTTCCTCCCACTCCTCCTCCATCGTTCTTCCCTCCAATATTTCCTCCGCCTCCTGCTGCTCCACCTCCATCTCCTCCATCATTTTTCCCTCCAAATCCATTTCCTCCGCTGCCGCCGATCTTTCCAGGTCTAAATCCACCACCACCACCACCTCCTTCTCCTCCACCACCTCAGTCAATTTTTCCATTTCCTCCATTCCCTTTCCTTCCACCACCAGGTAACCCTGGCCCTCCTCCTGCTTTATCTTCTTCAGCAAACAAACAACCTACTTAAGCGGACCAGTGTATCATATATATAAACCAAGCTTTTTATTTGAAAATGCACTGTGTTGTATATCTCATGTATGTATTTATACAAGGGTAAAAAATAAAGATGTGTTTTCTACGTGTTTTTTTCTTTTCTTTTAAAATGTTACTAACCTACCTTGTTGGAGGTGTATCGCATCCCTTCACAAGACTCAAAGAACTCAGTCTATGAAACTGAGTCATCACGGCTTAGCTCAGTTGATGTTGGCTTAACTCAGTGCCACTTACTCGACACATGAGCTAAGCTCAGTAGCTCGGCTCATGAGCTTAGTTACTCGGTCTGCTAGGCTTAACTCATAAGAGCACCTCCATTGAAGGTTCATGGAGGGAGTTCACACGGAAATCAAGAAAAAAAAATAATAAAATAAGAAAAACCTATGAACCCCTCTCTCCTAAAGTTCACCGCGGTGAACCCCTCTCTCCTGAGATTCAATACGTGGCGGCTCGGGATTGATCTAGATTTTTTTTTTGTTTTTTTTTTCAAAAAAAAAATCAAAAAGAAAATAGAAAATTTTTAATAATAAAAAAATAATTCAATGAACCCCAAGAGGAGGTTCATTGATGTGGATGCCCTAAGGTTACACCGACTAAGAAAACAATGAGAGGAATTTATGTATAAAAGAGAGATAAGGGTAACAATAGAAGGAATCCAGACTTAAATACGCAGAGACTTACGGTAGAAACTAGAGTTTTACTCAATCTTATTCTCTCGCCACTTATACCTTTCCAGCATATTCCGATGAGTGCCAGTTTATTTTCATTCAAACACATATTGTAATCTCAGTCTCTTCTCATCAATAAAAATGCCTTTGAAATAAACCACAATTTAGTTTTGTTCTTCTTATTCAAGCCGATCATATGAAGATTCAACAGTTGGTGTCCGCTGTGGAGCTATACAAAATAGTGTTGACAAGATTAGCATGAATCCCAACGTTTCAACCTCCAGAGAAGAATGTCAGGGGCGGATCCACGGTACAGTAGGGTGTGGCAAGTGCCACATACTAAATATATACATTTCTTGTATACATAAGAACAGATTGATATCGTTAGCTCTTTGGCTTACAAGACTTGTAGCAGTGCCTCACGCTTCATGGATTCAAACCTTTACCTATCTTTTTTAGTTTCTTTTTTTTTTATGTTTGTAATAAGGCTAGAGATAAATAATTTGATAAATAATGTAGTCTTTTAACTCAAATCTCAAAGCCCAAACTAGAGACAAAGCTGAGGTTAAGAGAAGAATGGTTTTCTATACATTTTAATTTATTTTAATCACTTTTCATAAATAAATAAATAAATAAATATATATATATATATATATATATATATATATATATATATATATATATATATATATATAATTGTATTGCTAATTTTTATGCATGATTTTCTTTAGTATATAGATTTTCAAAAATTATAAAATATTTGCACTTCATTTTATTTGTATTAATTTAGTATTTACTAATTATAAAACTTAGATTAAAACAAAAACTATATTGAAAAAGTTTTTTAATGAAAATATATGATTTTATCTTAATATTACTCCAAATAAATACTTAATATTATAAAATGCTTATCTTTTTATTTAATTTAAATATTTCATTAAATAAGAAGTAAAATTAATGATTAATATCATTTGTTTTAAATTGGATATAATTTATTTATTAAATTATATTTGACATTTTGTAAATTATATAATATACCACTTGGAAGAAAAGAAAATGAAAGGAAATCAAGTCTTGCAATTGTGCCACATATTATTTTCTTTTCTAGATCTACCCTTGAGAATGTGCACCAGTAGCAGAGGCGTCGACCATGACATAAATGATCCGCCCTTGAGAATGTGCACCAATAGCAGACGCGTCGACCATGACATAAGTGATGAAATCATCATGAAACACCAGACTCAGTCGGAGCAAGCTCACAAAGGGACGAATGAACATCTCACCGTGCTCACCACTGTGTTCACGACACAAGCTGACAAAGCCAGTGGTCCAGCAACAACAAGGAGATAAATTTTCTCCACCACAAACCCTACGTCTAGCGACAAAGAATAGGCGACTTTCGACTCAAACCATACTGCCGCCGACATTCAGCAGACCATGGACGGCTGGGAATTCGCAACGAGTTGTCAAATTGTCGACCTTCGGCTCTCGATGCAGGACATCAACTCGAAATTCCACCATGTGACGAGCTCAGCCCCAGAAATCAAGCATGTCCTCGCCAAAATACGTAAGACCATGTTTTAGAAGACGTTAAAATCTTTCAAATCAATAAGTTTCGTATCTTGTCTTACTTCAACAACACAGACCCCACTGACCTTTGTAGGTGGTGGAATACTCCCCTTCATAAGGCCCACTGAATAATGAGCTCGGCCCGCGCGTGCTCTGGCCCAACGAGGTAAGTTGATTAGCAACGAGTTTAGCTTAACTCGGATAATCCTCGCGATTAAACGAGTTAATGACGCTTAGTTAAGGTACTTACCTTAGCGGGCCGACCATAGCCCATCTGGCGAAAGGCCCTCCGTACACGCGACCAGTTCGCTAGGTAAAGGGAATGCTGCTATAAAATGGAGAGAGGAGGCAACAAGAAGAGGATCCGAAATTAAGCACTCACTTGCAAGGCGGCTAGAACTAGGGTTTTCACCTCCTTGTACTTTCCCGACTTGTACTCTCACGGCCGAGCTCTCCGAGCAACGCCGTCTTGTCTCGATTGTTCCCTTATTTGTACACCAACTCTTACATCAATAAACTTACTCTTCCACTCATAAATAGTAAAACGCCTTTGAAATAACCCACAGACGAGTCCAGTCACTCTCTTACTGATAAGAACGAACTTGGTTCGAACAGTTGGCGCCCACCGTGGGGCATAACAAAGTAGCGTAAACATAGAAACGAGTCCGAGTAATGATATAACCTCCGGCGAAGAGGGGGACCCAGTAGCACCAACTCCGGCTACTATCTTACCTCTCGCTCCAACGTTCATTGACTCCGCCATGGAGCGCTTTGCTCGCCAAGACGAAGCTCAGAGAGCGACCACCAAACAACTCGCCGCTATGACAGCCATCCTCGCACCGTTCGCCGAGACAGCCGCCACTAACCAGCCCTTCCAACGACAGCTGTTCAACACTGACAAAACAGAGAACCGTGACGACCAAGTCACCGGAACACAAGCTCAAGGCGCCGAGGAGCAGAGCAACACCTCCGGCGCCCCAGATCTGCAAACCATCCAGGAAATCGCTGCTCTCAAGCAAGCCCTCCTCGACATAAACTCGAAGATCCATGGGGTCACGACCTCCACTCCACTTATAGAGAGCGTCCTCGCGGATAAGCTTCGGACACCGTTCACGCCCAAAATGACCGACGTAAGGCTCCGTAAGATGGACATGATTCGTCTACCGACTTACGACGGCCTTTCGGATCCGACCACCCACATCACGTCTTTCAACATCGCGATGAGACGACAAAACTTCCTTGACGAGGAAAAAGATGCTGGCTTTTGTCAACTATTTGTCAAAATTTTAACCGGTGTAGTGCTCACATGGTTTACCGGCTTACCGGAAAACTCCGTCGATAGTTTTCACGACTTGTCGTCGGTCTTTCTCAAGAACTACATAATGTTCACATTCGAGGTAGCTACTGCTTCGGATCTTTTGCACCTTCCCAAGCGCAGGGGCAGAGTCTTCGCAGCTTCATGGAGAAGTTTAAGTCCATCGTATCCAAAGTCAAAGTCCCCGACAGCATTGCCGTGAACGCCCTTATGAACACCCTGTATGTGCACTTGAAGTTTCGGGACGACCTATACCGTTATCCGACTAAATCCCTCTCCGACGCCATTGCTCGGTCCAACAACTTTATCCGCATGGTAGAAGACACCAAAGCAATCATCAACAACCAGAATTGGACAAAGCAGGCGCCGACCAAGGGTAGCGAAACCCGATCGGAACCACGACAGCACGCCCCCAATGACAAAGCGAATCCAAAGAAAAGCTTCGTGTATATGGTTAACGAGGACGATCTCCCAGGTTCCACACTCGTGGTTCGAGCAAAGGGTTGGAACCACCGGGATAGAGCCGAGGATGAGAAGAAGACTCAGGGCGCCTCCGACGCGTCAGGATCAAGTCCCGCGGAACCAGACATGTACTACACTTATCACAAGAGCAAGAAGCACGACACAAAGGAATGCAAAGTTCTGTATGAGCACTTCCTCTCATAAGTCGCCAGCGGCAAACTGGGAATCGAGCCTCCTAAAGCAAAACCGAAAGAAAATAGCTGGAGCAAAAACAAAGACAAGAAGGCCAGAAAGCCGCGGGGCAAGGCTCCACGAGCCGAGCAGAAGACGAACGCCAAGGAAGCCGCTCCCAAGATACAAGAAAAAGGAGACTCATCTGCCGACGAAGAGCAGCCGCGAAACCGACAAAAATTTGAAGTCATCCATGCGCGCCGAGCTCAACGGTAGACGACAAGCCCGAACTCACCCAAGAAGATCTGCGTGTGTATATCAACAAGCGACCTACCGAACAAGGCAGCCTGAGCTCTGTTGATCTGCGACATAGACTGAAGCGAAGAAACATTGTTGCCGAAACAACACCATCCAAATCCAACAGTGCTGAACACAAAGTCGCCATCCCGGCACTCAAGCGAGCTGGAGTCGCTGACATCTAGACACGTACAGCTCGCCCCCAGCCGGAACTGATTTGAGAAGTCACCTGAACTCAAAGGTCGCTGACCGTTTTAAGCTCCGCAAACCAAAAATACAGGATCTACGACAGAAGCTCGATGCGACCAAAGGTAGCCGGACAGGGCAACCAACAGTCGCACATTCACCTTACGAACTGCGCTTTCATCTCCAAGGAAAACGAGCAAACTTTATCATGGGAGGCTCGCCCCCATGTGGCAACTCGGTTCGATCCGTCAAAGCCCATCAGCGCCAAGCGAAGACCTCGCAAAAATGGCCATCTGTACCGAAGAATGACCTTCCGTTTACGTTCTCGGCAGAGGACGCACTCGGAGTCCACATGCCGCATAATGACCCTCTCCTCGTCGAGTTGGGCATTGGGGAGTGTGAAGTGACCAAGGTGCTGATTGATACCG